AACTTTTTACTCATTGAGAAGGTATTAGATATTATGGCGCCATATGTCATAGTTACCGCCATCCAATTTATCTCCCTTAGTTAAGTTTGTCACCATTGTTTTAGCTATCATTTCTAGATATAGAGTAAATGAAGAATAAATGTGCAGGGGATATTAATGATAGCAACACAAAATTATTTTGCAGCAAAAGAATCTAAATTAAATAATGATAACATTACACATATCTCAAGATCGAAAATTTGCTATGCTCGTAATCATCTTTCGTGCCTCTAATAACAATTATCAAAATTTAATTTAATTCCGTGCAAAAAAAAAAAAAAAAAAAGTGCATAACAAAAAAAAAAAAAAGAAGAAAAGAAAAAAAAACTTCCCACTTCTTATGACATGTACAAAACATGATAATTAGTCTAATTCCATACAATAGCATCTTAATATAAATTTACAATTAACTCATGCAATATACATTTAATAATGGAATTAAATAATAAAAAAAACTAATCATGCTTCTCTAATCACAACATATTACAAACTCTAGGCAAAAAACAATAGTATGTCATGTTTAATGTTTAGATTATACCATAACAGAAAGTACATCACTCTGAAATTTTTCTGAAATTTTTTGGAATTTTAAACAATTAATAAACATACATAAAATCAGAAATAAATATTTCAGAATCTGAGAAAATACAACAATCATACCAGTAAATAGTAAATGATTACAGTAGTTTATAGTAAAAATTTTAGCCCAAAAACTTAGTCATGTAACACCAGAAACATTTTAAAGCAAAAGTAATGAATTATTATTTCATAAAATATATATTTTTTATTTTCATAAAATTTTGAAAATTTTACAGTAAATAAAAAATTTAATTCTGAGTCTAACAGTACCAACCATGCTTAAAACAAAGCTATAACGAATTACTTACCATTTAAAGTAATTTTGGATTTTTTAAAAAATAAACAGAGCCTTAGCATCCAGCAGCTAAGCCAGCCAAGTCGGCGCGGCTCAGCTTGGCACGCGGCGCAGCGCAGCGCATGGTGAGCATATGGGCAGAGCGCTAGGCACGCACGTAGGAAGCGACGCCGCGCAATGGGCGGCGCTAATGGCATCATATGGCGTGTGTTGCTCACGCACCGCCTTCCGAGTGTTTTCTAATCCAATTTTGGTACTGTCGGACTCTATTTTCCAAAATAAAAACAATGGTGTCTCAAAAATGACATTTAACAAACACAAATAATGAGATGTATCACACTCTCTCTCTAATGAGAGTGGAAGTGCAGAAACTGTGCACTTCATCTTCTTCTTTAAGCCATCAAAAAATCAAAACGAACCTAAATTAGGGTTTGATTTTTCTCATCAACCGTAAGTTCAAATCTAACAAATAATATATGGTTTCGAAGGTCTCAAAATAAGAATTCTAAATATGTAAGATTTGTAGACTAAAATTAAAGCATGTAAAACCATCATGCAAACAAAGTTTCGAGAATATAAAATGGGTTTCCATTTTTCTTGTAATCTAGCTGTTGGATTTTCATAAAACTTTACAGATATATTCTACATGAAATGTACTACAACATATGTAAATTTCAAATTGATTGGAGAAAGTTTGAAAAAATATTAATTTTCATACATATATCATGTGTGTATATATATATAATTATATACATATTTTAATGCACAAAAACAAAAAAACAAGCACGAAAATATCTATTTAAGGCTCTGATACCAATGTTAGATGCAGATAACGCAGCGGATAAAAAGATTCAAACCATACCTTAGGTGATAGAATTCGAAACGGATAACCTTGTGGGTAAATCATGTGCTTCACACTTTACGAACTAAGAACACCCAGCAATAAAGTGATACCACAGTATGAGTATCACCCACACTAGTCACAGTGCAAAGGCTTGATCGTTATTTTAATAGGAGAGAGTTAGAGAGAGAGTATGGGAAAAATCATTTGTTATTGGATTCATCCCACATCCCATATACCGCATTAGATATATAGGATGACCATCTAACCATCTAGCTATATCAGTTGACAAGATATGATAGATATAGATATTGATAGTGGGTTGTCCAAATAGGATAGAAAATAATTCAAATTCAAATTCAAATTACATGGATAACATAAATGGGTCATGGGTCATGGGTGCCACATGGGCGCCCAAATTCGGGTCTAATACCCGGCCCAATTTCCAACAGTTTTGCAGTATATGAGGTTCTTGGGTTGAGAGGATCAAACTATCAGAGCCTATATCATTTCACAATTGGAGGTCCAGTTGTAGACAAGTGAATAATGAGCCTCCTTTCTTATCCACACCCCAGTGTTGATGCCTGATTGCTTGATCACCCTGTTTCAGATAACATTGGCAGGTTCATGAGTCGTGATGCAAATAAAATCCATAAAGCTATGAGTTTTATACATTTTCAAATAATAAAGTTTGATATGGTTGTTTGGGATAAAAATGAGTCACTATATTTAGGAGAGAAAAAAGTGGTAGAAGTGAAAGTGTTTTGGTTGGTATATGCGAGGTTGTAATTCGTGAAGCAAATATAACCACAAAAAAAAAATTTGGAGGAACAACCAAGGTATTATTATGTTGGAGAAATAACCAACCATGTCTCTTTTCTCTTCAACCACTTGTTGTTTCATCTCTTCACTGAAGAAGAAGATGAAGCTACTGATCTGGCTACAACGCCGCCTTGGACTCCCAAGATCCCATCGCCACCTACCATATTTCTTCTGGTCTTTTTTTCTCTGTCGCAAACTTAAGTGATGAACTCGTAAACATACATGCGCCTAGGATTTTTTTGAAAATTACGATCAAATGGATCTTGAATTGTTGTGATCTGATGCAAACTCAATTGTTGTGAAAATTTTGTACTTACTGGTCGACCGGCCGGTCGTCTGCCCGATTGACCGATGGTTTGATGAAAAGCCAAATCTCTTCGTTGGGGTAGGTGATATCAAAGAGAGTTTTTACTTAAATTTTTTCTCAAATGTGGTGAAAAAAGTAATACACCGTTGGAGATACTCTAAATATTTCAACTTTGTCTTATTTTGAGAGATAGGTTAAAAACTAATATTTGATTTTTTTTAAAAAAATGTAAAAAAAAAATAGAGAGATGACATGATTTACAAAAATCAAAAAGTTAACTTTTAACTTAATTGTCAAAAAAGGCCTTTATGTTATGTTTAGATTTGTGAAAGAAAAGCAGAAGGAAATGAACATGAAAACAAAGGAAAATAAAATAGTATGAAAGAAAATAAATAGTTATTTTTTATAAACATATTTTTCTGTTTGGTTACTCCAAAAAATTAAATAAGTAAATTTGTTTTCCTTCCATTTTTCTTTCCTTTCTCTTGACAAATCTCAATTCAACCAAGCCATTTTCTAATTTGGATTCACCAACATCCCATGTATCAAACCCATACCATGCCATTTCTGTTGTTAAGGCTGGTGAGTAGATGGATAGTCCCACCGCTTCACCAATCAAAGAATGGGTGGGGCGAGTGCAGTGAGGTAATCTTTTTTACTTCTTTTCGGATTGGTTTCATGTGAAATAAGCTCTTCCACTCTCGCAAAATGTTTACTATCCCGAGGCTGACATAAGCCCTGTTTGGTAGAACTGTAAGAAAGTGCTTATAGCTTATGCCTAAACAGCTTATAACTTATAACTTTCAGCTTAAGCTGATTTTCAGCTTATTCTTAAAGCATCTCCTACCCCACTCAAAGAATAAGCTGTTTTCTGACTTCCACAACGCTATAAGCTATAAGTTATAAGCTAAACCAAACACATCAAAATAGCTTAAATTAAGCTGAAAGCTGAAATAAGCTGAAATTAAGCTGTACCAAACAGGGCCATAGTGACCTAGGGAACTTGCTCGTGTCCTCTACCTGTTCAATTGGAGCTAGTTACGGAGCGCACTCTTTCTATACTTCAAGCCTCGTTTGTCAAATGACTTTTTAATTAAAAAGTTAAAAAATTATTAAAAAAAGTAAAAAATCAACAATTCGTATCAAAAAGTCAAAGATTCTCTTTTTTCTCTGCTTTTTACACATCTTTTTGTAAAAAACTAAAAAATCATCCCAAATATACTAATTTTTTTTGCATCACATTTTAACAAAAAAACTAAAAAATTACTAAAAAAACTTACTCCCAAACGAGGCCTTCACTATAGAGGCTCAATAGACCACAACAACATGACCCTATGTTTTACTTACTATAGAGGCTCAAAAGACCTCAACAACTTGACCCTACCAACACACTTCAGTACGACTGAGTCTCCAGCCGGTCCTTTGTATTCAAGTTCATGCAAAGCCTAACAAACTATGTAAAAATTTTGAACTTTACCTCATGCTCAAAGTAACAAGAACAAGGTTGTTTCACAAATGCAAAATCAGGAATGAAGAAAGACAATCACAAGTCTGAAAAAGAAGGAGAACGGGTGAAACAAACACGTACTCATTACCAGATAACATTCCAACGACCTACAATCCCCAGAACTGTAACAGTTTTGGCGTATAAAAACAAGAAGGGGAAGGAGTTTTTGATCATTACGGAGCGCACTCTTTCTATACTTCAGGCCTTTTTAATTAAAAAGTTCAAAAATTATTAAAAAAAACAAAAAAACCAACAATTCATATTAAAAAATCAAAAATTCTCTTTTTTCTCTGCTTTTTACACATCTTTTTGTAAAAAACTAAAAAATCATCCCAAATATACTAATTTTTTTTGCATCACATTTTAACAAAAAAACTAAAAAATTACTAAAAAAACTTACTCCCAAACGAGGCCTTCACTATAGAGGCTCAATAGACCACAACAACATGACCCTATGTTTTACTTACTATAGAGGCTCAAAAGACCTCAACAACTTGACCCTACCAACACACTTCAGTACGACTGAGTCTCCAGCCGGTCCTTTGTATTCAAGTTCATGCAAAGCCTAACAAACTATGTAAAAATTTTGAACTTTACCTCATGCTCAAAGTAACAAGAACAAGGTTGTTTCACAAATGCAAAATCAGGAATGAAGAAAGACAATCACAAGTCTGAAAAAGAAGGAGAACGGGTGAAACAAACACGTACTCATTACCAGATAACATTCCAACGACCTACAATCCCCAGAACTGTAACAGTTTTGGCGTATAAAAACAAGAAGGGGAAGGAGTTTTTGATCATTAAAATAAACTTATTATTATTGATGGCATTCCAATTCCCTTGCACACTCAGTTTAAGCTGATTTTGTATAGAAACGGATGCCAACAGCAACACCCAAGATGACCAGGGGAACTAAGAACTGAAGTAGCTTGATGATGAACTCCGTGGTCTTGTCCTGGTTGTAGTGAGGTTGCTTTGGAGGAGTGTACTTTTTCTTGGAGGGGATGCTCGCTGAATCGATGTCCCCAACATAGAATTCATCCATCATTGCCCTAGCACTGGAACTGTGGCCAACATCCTCAAAATCATCAGTTGCATCCTTGCCTGCAAAGAACGTGTCGGTAGGGACAATAAAATGGTATGTACCACAAATGGCTATGATTCCTAGTCTAAGTGACAGGTTCGATATCCCTATCCAGAAGTTGATGAATCTTCTTGACTTCACACTCCATTTCTTTCAATGGAAAATGTTTTCAATTGTTTGGTTGCCACCTTGAAACCAAGGAGCTAATGCTTTTATTAGTGGTGGCGGTGGGGTGGTGGGCGTAAATGGTGTGGCAGCATTGCTAAGACTTTAGTCTAAAAAATGTTTTTCACATTTCAAAAGTAAAAAATATTCTTCCTGCAAATAAGTTTGTTTTCCATTGACTTTTGTTTTTGGTTGTACCAAACATCAGGAAATGCAAAAAAAGAAACATTTTTCAAAAAATATTTTCTAGCAAAACAAAAGGAGTGTCAAATCTCAACATCCACCCATTGCATACATGAAACAACCATGTCATTATATTTTTAAACAGCAACTATGATAAAGGCAGCCATAATTCTACTTTACCTGTTGCGGACAACAAAACCTCATCACCACCGGGATGGTCCTCCAAAAACTTGGTCACATCATATACCTGTTGGAACACATAAAGACAAGGATGGAACTTAAGAACTTTGCAAATAATGTCACAACAATGCCATACAAAACTCAAAACAGTATACAAGATGTAGCACAATCAGAGCTCAATTACTGTTTCCACATCCTCTCTATGTATAGCATACATTGGAAGAAATGTGGAAAAGTTTCATTCCAGTTGAGTTTAAATATCTCCACTGATGAGAAAGACCAAACTTGTTGGAAAAAAGTAGATGTTTGGTAAATGTAGTTCAGAAGTTTCACAAAACTCAGTGTGTAGCTACAGTTACTGATCCCAAGAAGAAATTTTTCTTAGCTAATTAAAAGGAAAAATCTTTGAGCTTTTTGAAAAGAAGAGTATAGGATAAAAATTGCAAGAGTGGAATCAAGATTCCACAACATCGACTTGCCAATAAACCCTAACGTATTTATAAAAATAAAAAATAAAAAAAAGCAGTTAAGAGTAAGTTTCCAGTGATTTACATGAGTACAATAGAAAACTACTATGCAAATTGATGATTTCTTCTTATGGAAATTCAATTAAAACGGACAATAATCAGTAAATAAACATTATATATGATGTATCCAAGGAAAAAAAAAAAAAAAAAACTTCAAATTGAAGAAATAAAGGATTTTCAGTAGGCAACTATTCCTGTAGATGTTCCATCAAGCTAATAGAAGAACTGATGTTAAACCAGCGGTAGAATAAAATATTTAAACAGCACTAGATCATTATGATTAATGACAACACATAGCAGGGCACGTTCATAAGATACAAACAGATTGCATAATTTCTATTTATCCAACTGTCAAAGGGGTATTATACATTGACCTCAAAAGCTGGAGTGTGAATATCACATATACAAAATCAGTGAAGGACAAAAGCTAAACCTCAAAACCTAGTCGGTATTTCCAGTAGATAAATGACAATCCTAAATATGAGCCTCTACACCCCCACGTGCTTATGCCCAAAACCTCAACTCCAAATCAAATGTCACAATATCAAAACCAATAAGTAGAGAATCTTCCGTCTAAAACTCAAAATCACACGTGGGTAACAGCAATAACGTATCTATCAACAAGGAAGAATCTTGCATCTAAACTAAAAACATCATCTCATTCCCACGTAAATATACAAGTAAATGGGGAATCCTTCTAATAAAGTTTGCTTATTTATCCAAAAAAAAAAAAAAAAAAAAAAAGGGGAATCTTGCATCTAAACTTAGGAAACCTGTATGGTTATTTCATGCAGCATTGGAACTGATAGTATGCTGAGAAACACATGTCCTCTCATGTCCTATAGAGCAATGGTAAAAACCACATACAGAAAACAAGACTGATGATACATTTATGCATAGTGTAAAATATATATTTATTGAAATTTTGGATTAGGAAAACCAAACTTTCTTTCTTTGCACCAATCCAGAAAAAGCAAAGCTTTTGCATCTTAAATATCCATTTACCCAGGAATGAGCTTTTAGAACTAATCAAAACCCACGATTCTTTACAATGCAAGCCTAATTTCAATAATTGCAAAGTGTCAAAAAAAATATATATATATATATATATGTAGTAGTGAAAGTTAAAATTTTATTTTTGAGGAAACCCAAAAGATCCTATTCCGGAATATACAATCAGATCGACAAAAAAATGGTTACAGATTCGAATCGTGAACAGATCAAGTCTATACGAGACAGATATAAAGCAGAAATCAATTGAATCACACAACCCGTTATCAGAAGCAGTGTGGGTAGAAATCAGATCAGAGAATGAGAAAAGTAATGCATATACCTTGCCATCGATGACAAGCCAACAGTCCTTGGGCGTGTTGTGCTCGGAGACCTCGGCCAAAGTAAAGACCTTCCCGTCGCCACCCATTAATGTAATACAGCTTGAGATCAGAGAGATAGAGAGAGGTCTGTGTATCCCTTTGTTTGTTGGCCTTTGCTCTCCCAACAGAGAGAGGGAGTTGGTGTGGTTTGGTTTGGTGTGGTGTGGGAGAGTTAATTTGGGGAGGGTGTATAGGTGGATGGGTGTGGGGGTTGGTGAGCTAAGAGAGGTGAAGTGAGATGAGAGGTGATGATCTTTTATTTTTATTTTTATTTTTATTTATTTTTTTGATCTAGAGATGTGATGATCTTGTCAACCAAAACCTATGTGCTAGTTAAAAAAATAAAATAAAATAAAACCTATGTGCTTGCTTTTTACCTTTAATTGCATTTTAAGTTAAAATAATTTAAAATATATATTTATTTTTTTGGTTTTTAAAAAGGGTGTACCAAGGAGATGGGACATCGAATTATTTAAAATTTTTAAACATATAATTATTTTGAATTATTTTGTATAATATATTTTGTTTTATATGAAGATATATTTAGGTGGTTTCATGCTTGGGTCTTGGTGGTAATATGGTAAAAAAATAAAAATAAAATTGAGTTGACACTTTATTGGTTTTGAATTAAAAAATTCATTTGGATTAATTTTTTTAATTTTTGTAAGAAAAAAAATTAAAAATTATAATTTAAATGTGATAATTATTTTATTAACTTATTTAACTTTTTTATTTTTTTCTTTTTTATTTTTTTTATTTTTTAGCCCCAGCTGACTTTGCCAAAGCAAACCAAAATTTCACTTTCTCCTAGGACTAGCTTTATGCATAATAGAAGGACTAGTGATTGAATAATTAAAATTAAAAATTATTGTTATATATCATCAGAAATATTTAATTATTATTTTATATATAAATAAAAATATTTTTTTAAAGAGCAATACATGAATTGATAACAAATATGATTTTCTTAAGATTTGTGTGTCAAAACAATTTAATTAAATTTTATTTTTTAAAATGGCAAAATTTTAGGTCTTGTTTATGTCGAAGATGAAGAATAATTAATACTATAGATCTCACATGTCATTTTAGTAATCATAAAATTATATGTACCACGAGATTATTTGGATAGAAAGTAATAAAAAATGTGATAAAATTTTAAGAATTATATTTTATGATGGTAGAGAAAAAATAACAAATCCTATGAAAGACGAACACTAACAAATGGATTCTAGGTATATATTTTTATAATTAAATCCCTTCAAATTCCTTCAAATATAACCAAAACACTTGGGGTTAGGAACCATGGAACCCTTCCCTTATAGATGTTCTTGCCTTATTTAATATGTTTGCTTCACAACTTTGTTTTCATAAAATAGAAAATAGAAAATAGAAAATAGATGGTTGGTTGGTCCATTCAATTCAACTAGCCTTTTTTGCATCATTGTTTATTCAAAACAAAAGTCCATTCAAGATTGCTGCAAAATTTGACAAAGGAAAGGAAATATTGATGGTGGTGTGTGGTAGGTGAGGTGATTACACCTGCATAGTCGGCTATGGATGTATGTTATCAACATGCTTGCCTCGCCCTTCCAAAGCATTCTAACTCATTAAGGGCCAATTTAAGAATATGATTAAAAGTTAATTTTTAATTTTTAACTTATTTTGAATTTTATTATCTCTTTATTTTTTTATTTATTTTAAAAAAATTAAAAAATTAACTTTTAATCAACTTGTCAAAACAACTATAATAAACTTGAATAAAGATTGGCGGCTTGAATTTAGCTTGCCCGAATTATTTGAATTTATGCTTGCCAGTTGACCGATCGCCTAGTAAACCACTCGGATGACCGGTGTAACATTTGTATATCACAATTGTCACATTGTCGATCGTGATTGCCAGCTTTCTTACCAAATGACCACTCGGTTGACTGGCAACCAAAATTCGAGCCATTCGGGCGAGATGAAATTCGAGCTACGTAGCATTTTACTTCTTAAAATACAATAATTTCAAAATATGATTGGATAAAAATAATGTTACGCATTTTTGTAATAATGTTACACATTTTGTTGTTATAAAATGTTTGAATAAAAAAAATGTGCAATATTACCATAAAAATGCATAATTTTATTTTTTAGCCACAAATTGTTATAATTTTATCAAAATATTAAGTAATATTTATTAGAAAAATACGTAACAAACAATATAAATATACATAACATGGTACATATGATACATATCATCATAGAATTTTCTCACAAATTTACCTAAAATGATGTGATAAGAGAATTAAAAACTCTTTATGATTAAATGTATGATAAATAAAAAATTAATAATTTTATATTATATCATTGTAAATTGAATTGAAAATTTTCAGCAAGTAAAGCAATGAGAAGTATATTAAGGTCATAATAGAATATAATATAACATATGATATTTGTGTCAAAACGGGAATAGCTCCAAAAGCGAATCAATCTTTAGAACACGTTAGGCTTAGTGCGGTCGGATTTGTGGGCTGGGCTGCGCCGACTATTTGACCGAAGCCCACACATATGGCACATAAGGACGTTGTATTCTCATGGACCCAAATAAATCCTAGGAGGATGTAGCTAAGGCTCCGTTTGGAAAAAAAAAGTCAGGTTTTTTTGGTTAAAATAGTTATAAAAAATAAAATAGGTTATTTTAGTCACAAAAAATAAAACATCAAATTCAACCCATAATCATTACAATCCTCTCTCACAAAAAAAGTCAAAAAAGTCAAAAAGCCAAAAAGTCCTTCCCAAACCAGGCTAAAATAGCCCAGGCTAAAATAGCCAAAAAGTCAAAAAGTTAAAAAGCCAACCCACTTCCCAAACGGAGGCTAAATCAAATAATCGGGTTCGGATCCTGTAAGCTTTTTTTTTTTTTTTGAAAGGGCCAAATTCCAATCCAATGCAATAATCGGGTCAACCACTATAAACGCTTACAACTCAATCGGGTCAATAAGGCCTCGTTTGGGAACAAGCTAATTTAGCACCCATTTGGGAAGTGGGTTGGCTTTTTGGCTTTTTGGTTTTTTTGGCTATTTTAACCTGGGGCTAAAAAGCCTGATTTAGGAAGGGCTTTTTGACTTTTTTGGCTTTTTAGCTTTTTGGTGAGGTGTCATCTTGTTAAAAGACCAAATTGCCCTTTTCCATTTTTTTTATTTTTTAATTTGGGTTGGGATTTGGCATTATTTCCGTTTTTTTTCTTTTTCTTTTTTTTTCAATTTTGGCTTTTTGCTTAAAATATATATATATATATATATTTTTTGGATTTGGCATATTTTTGTTATTTTTTATTTTAATTTTTTCTGTTAGGTTTCGATTTCGCCTATTTTCCTAATTTTTGTTTTTTTTTTTTTTTGGGTTTGGATTACGGATTTTTTTTTTTTTTGTATATTGGGTGTCGATCTGCCGACTTTTACTTAATTTTTTTATTTTTCATTTTTTTTATTTTGGGTTTGGAATTGCCATATTTTGGTTCTTCTTTTTTATTTTAATTTTTTTATGTAGGGTTTTGATTTTGTGTTTTTTTTGTTTTTTTTTTTTTTTTGGGGTTTCGCTTTGGCATTTTTTGCTTTATTTTTTTTGTTGACAATTTTTTCATGTTGGGCTTCGATCTCCCGAATTTTG